AAGTAGTAGCCTTTAAATATTTAGGTTTCGGCGCCTCAGATAAAATGTCGTTTAAACCAACAGTAGACGCAGCAATCGATAAAATTCGTAAATCCTATTCTAAGTTAAAATGGCTTTCTAAAGGTGATGCGGTTTCTAAAAGTCAATTGTGAATTTTGTAGAGCCTGATGAGTTCTAGCTGGGTCCATGACGAAGAAAGTTGGGTCCAGTCACACAGCGAATCGTGGCACAAAATATCTTATTTTTCCCGCTTGTATATATATATATATATTGCTTTTATAGCGTGAAAAGTAATTAGCGATTTTCTCATTAACTGTGCGTCGGAGAGAGAAAAGTGAAGTGTGAACTTTGTAGAGCTTGATGGGTTCTAGTTGGGTCCATGACGAAGAAAGTTGGGTCCAGTCACACAGCGAATCGTGGCACAAAATATCTTATTTTTCCCAGTTGTATATATATATATTGCTTTTATAGCGTGACAAGTAATTAGCGATTTTCTCATTAAGTGTGCGTCGGAGAGAGAAAAGTGAAGTGTGAACTTTGTAGAGCTTGATGGGTTCTAGTTGGGTCCAGTCACACAGCGAATCGTGGCACAAAATATCTTATTTTTCCCGCTTGTATATATATATATATTGCTTTTATAGCGTGACAAGTAATTAGCGATTGTCGCATTAACTGTGCGTCGGAGAGAGAAAAGTGAAGTGTGAACTTTGTAGAGCTTGATGGGTTCTAGTTGGGTCCATGACGAAGAAAGTTGGGTCCAGTCACACAGCGAATGGTGGCACAAAATATCTTATTTTTCCCACTTGTATATATATATATTGCTTTTATAGCGTGACAAGTAATTAGCGATTTTCCCATTAACTGTGCGTCGGAGAGAGAAAAGTGAAGTGTGAACTTTGTAGAGCTTGATGGGTTCTAGTTGGGTCCACGAGGAAGAAGGTTGGGTCCAGTCGCACGGCGAATCGTGGCACAAAATATCTTATTTTTCCCAGTTGTATATATATATATTGCTTTTATAGCGTGACAAGTAATTAGCGATTTTCTCATTAAGTGTGCGTCGGAGAGAGAAAAGTGAAGTGTGAACTATGTAGAGCTTGATGGGTTCTAGTTGGGTACACGAGGAAGAAGGTTGGGTCCAGTCGCACGGCGAATCGTGGCACAAAATATCTTATTTTTCCCACTTGTATATATATATATTGCTTTTATAGCGTGACAAGTAATTAGCGATTTTCCCATTAACTGTGCGTCGGAGAGAGAAAAGTGAAGTGTGAACTTTGTAGAGCCTGATGAGTTCTGGTTGGGTCCATGACGAAGAAAGTTGGGTCCAGTCACACAGCGAATCGTGGCACAAAATATCTTATTTTTCCCACTTGTGTATATTGCTTTTATAGCGTGAAAGGTAATTAGCGATTTTCTCATTAAGTGTGCGTCGGAGAGAGAAAAGTGAAGTGTGAACTTTGTAGAGCTTGATGGGTTCTAGTTGGGTCCATGACGAAGATAGTTGGGTCCAGTCACACAGCGAATCGTGGCACAAAATATCTTATTTTTCCCGCTTGTATATATATATATATTGCTTTTATAGCGTGACAAGTAATTAGCGATTGTCGCATTAACTGTGCGTCGGAGAGAGAAAAGTGAAGTGTGAATTTTGTAGAGCTTGACGTGTTCCAGTTGGGTCCATGACGAAGAAAGCTGGGTCCAGTCACACAGCGAATCGCGATGGGATATACCGGGAGATTTTGGAAATGTGTGGGTTTTTGGGTTAGGATTCGGGTTATTGTCGTTTTTTTAATGGTTTGCTTTAATGAATTTTGTAGCCCAATGTGTGGGGTTTGTAGAGCTCGCTGAGTTCTGCTGGGGTCCAGCGAGAGTGGGGTGGGGTCCAGTTATGGGGCGAATCCATTCAGGAAATATTCGAATCCTGACCTAAGATATCCTACGTGAAACATTTAACACCGGTACATCGATTACATATAAATGTTCACAATACAAAAAGTACCCACTGTGTCAGTTTCAACTGAAAGCAAAAGAAAGTTCAGATGGCTATCAAGTCTATTCATCAGAAGCACATAATCGTCATACACGCGCTCAGACAAGTCGTCTTCCATCGCCTGTTCGACACAACATCGTACTAATGACAGATACCGGTTTAACACCCCGACAAATTCAAAAGGCAGTTACCGTGTTCAATCCTCAATTATCAAACGATATAATAAAAATTCTGAATGTTGCACGTACACATCGGCATATAATAAAAAAGGAAGGTATAATATACGCAGGTGTGAGATCTTTTGCTATTTATTAATTAATTAATTATTCCAAGATCTTTTCTGCAGGATAAAAAAATAAATAAAATTTTCCGAGATCTTTTATGCAGAAATGCTTAATTGACATTTTTCCGAGATCTTTTCTGTCTTTATTTCCTTCCGAGATCCATTCTGCTAATTTTCCGAGATCTTTTATTTTCACGTCCTTGAAATAAACTCAGAGACATCGTTAAACGATCACATATTATCAGCGACTGTGAGACTTCTTTAAACTTGTCATACTTACAGCAAAACCTCAATACCAGTTTATTCTAGTATATTACTGTGAAATACATTCACAATGAGGAAAATAAAAAAATTATATAACTTGTACTACCAGATTTTTGAGATGACAGGAGATGATTGCGAATTGTAAAGCACCCATTAACAATTGCTAAAAATTCAGAGAAAGATTCGAAATGTCTAATTGCTTCCATTGCATTGTAGAATTGATCAGTCTATATGTTGTATGCGACAAAATTAGAGAAGTTTAATGTAATATGCCGTCGATTTATGTTATTATTACAATTTATGCGATCGAAAAAATTGAAAACCATATTTTTGTTCAAAAGCTTTTAGAAACTCTATCGGAAATCAGAGGGTTTTGTAAAGTTTTTCTTGATTTCTTATAAATAGGCTGTAGAATAGCCTAAATACTTTGCATTCTGAAGTTCTGAAGTGAATCTGATGTTTTTTGAGCGAGTTCCAATTTTTTTAATATTAGGTGAAAACAGTCTGGAAATGGCAGTTTTTATGAAACTGGGTTTCCACTATGTTTTTGAGTTCTTTCTGAAAAACAAACATTGCCACTGGATTCATTATCGTCGATTACGTATGTTCCATACGATTTCAAGGCTACGCTAAGCCACCAGATACTAGGCCTTGGACTCCAACGAAATCCAATAACCCGCCCGAATCATTAAAAATGAATGCCTCGCTTGACACTTTGAGCTATCTACCCCGGCGAAAAATTCAAAATATTTATATTTCAAGTTTTATTGTGATGGTCTGGTTTTGAAAAGCCACTTTAGAAAAAGAGATTCAAAATGACTTCAATGATGAAAAGATGCAGCCAGGTCTTGGCTTTCAATTAGTGAAAACCGGAAGCCTCTATCACTTTCTTGCCAAATGTTATTCAAAAAACACTCGGATCCATTCTGTTTTTTACCCACAATAGTGATCATCAGTGAATCATTTGCAAATAAATTTCACGAATGTGAGAAAATTAATCATTAGTCATCATCTTCTAATCATTGGTGATCATGTATAAATCATTCTTCTTGGCAATTATTGAAGATTAACCAAAACTCAAGATTCGCTAGCGACTCTGTGGGGAGACAATGAGGATTATGCATTTTAGGGACTCCCTGGGGAGTATGAGGGTGACTCCCTAGGGACTCTCCGGGGAGTACACATTTTTAGGGACTCCCCAGGGACTTGGAGGGGGACTTCCTAGGGAGTCCCCGGAGGTTATGCATTTCTCGGGGAGTCCCCGGGGACTTTCAGGGGGAGAGTCGACTAGGGTAGATATTCTCGAAAATAAAATAGACCAGAATATCTCAGAACGACAAAAAGCTTCACTTTGGCCTTTCGCACAATACACTATCCTTTAGCTTTTAGACATCTCTGTTCTTTTTCAGATGTCATTAAAACTTGAGATTCAAATCAATAAGAGGCATAAACAAAAACTGCAAAGATCTCAACTAAAGTTTCTTTTACATTCGGGTCACATCACGGTTCAGTTTTTTGTACGATTTTCGGGAGACTATTTTAATAGTTGTATTAATGTTGTAGAGAAGCGAGCAGAACAAATACACAGTTTTTAAATTAAATCTGTATGTTTCTCGATCATTTTTATTTGCAGGTCTAGTTCGATGGGGGTGCGAATCTCGTCCATCAACTAGTGAAAAGTTTTGTCAGCATCACACTAAAGTTTTAAACGTAATGGACAAAAGATTCAACAAAAAAAACAACTACTATCCATTTCAAAAAAGAAAGATCATGGCAATTTTCTCAATAACGTTTTCTAGAAAGTAGCTATAAAGCTGCGGTTTTCAGTGTTCGAAAGCGAAACGTTGGGCTACAAGAAAAACTAAAAGGTTTTGTCCCAAAACTCCCTGCAGGTGGTAAACCTTGCGAAGACATTTTGCAAAAGATGTCACACCACTAAAAAAAAGTCTGAATAGTGGATCCGAACCGCCAGCTCGTGCTCTACAAAACCTGGTCACTTTCAAATTCGTACCTTTCAAGGTTCGAACCTTACGGGACATTTCCTGAGACTGCCTCCAGAACGCTTTTCTCGATTAGACTTCTTCGAAATTTATTCGATTTGTAGGTTTTCGCATGCGCTGAGTAACGTGGCAATGTTTTTACGTCTCTAAGTAAACGTTTTCATACTATAAATATAACCATCAGTAGCTATGAGCACTTCAACGAAGCAGTAAACAACGAAAATTACATTTTCTGAATTAATGAGGTGAAAATCCGGCTTTCTAGAGGTTCTACACCAGAAAAGCAACATTTCTACTACCTGACCATTGTTCTTCTGCTATTTATTTACTGCGGTTGCGCTATCAAATGAATTCGAAATGCATGTTGTGCGAATAACGAACAGAAATAACGGTCGCCACACATGTGCGCTTGCATTTCTCTGTTTCGGCGAGAGAGAAAAGCGTATAATAAATTTTCGAAAGATGAAAAAGCTTTGATATTTCAAGTAATTGAATTCGTAGAGAGCGAAAAACATGGAAACGAAATACCTTTAATTAACACAATAGAACGTTTGGTAACAATGTTAGGTATAAGCTCGACAGCTTTAAAGGCTTTGAAAAAAGAGTTGAACGATTTAAAATCCGAAATGCAACAAACAAATAAATTGAATGAAATAGATGATGAAACAAATGCGGCATTTCGATCTTACCTACGAACAACATCTGAACCAGTCGCCGCCAAGTCGGTAAAAAGAGGTAAATGACAGTATTCTCCATCAATTCTGTTAGAGCAAGTTCCAGCGCCTCTCTCACCGAAAAAGAAACGTAAGTTATAATTGTTTTTTTTCTGCAGTAGCCGGATACCAAAGTGATCTGTGATTTCTGAGTTTAGGATATAGTGGCCGTCAAAAAATTGTACTGAGCGAGCTATGTGAAGATACAATCCGCTTAGAGTTTCATTAAATTCAGAGTTGGACACTTGAACAGGTTCCCTCGTTGAGACAGAAGTCATAACCCCAGTTTCGTACAGAGAATCAGTTGGACATATCACCAGAAAGACTTTTTTAAATCGCTTTTTGATCGAAACTTAGTGGGTTATAGGTTATCGACCGTACTAATTCCAAATATGACCATGGGGATCCTCATAGCCATTCGACAATTTG